CCCACAACTTCCAATGGCCTGCAGCTCCCACTGCTCCCCACCAACTAATTGGTTAAAATGTCACTCCAATCCCTGCCCCCCACTCCCAACAACTTATACCCTGACTCCTATTGTCAGCACCCCCTTGAGCTCACTGCCAGAGGCTCACGTGCCAAACATACTGGCTGCATGCCACTTGTGGCATATATGTCATAGGATGTCACCACAGCACTAGAGCATACACTTGCCTGTGTTCTCAGCTGGGAAGAGATGATCATTTCAGACAAAAGCCAACAGTTCTGCTCCCTCCTTCCCTCCCACCCCCTGAGTTTCATAATGGTCATTTAGGGGGAAAAAAGTTTGAACCATAAAAACCACATGGCTTTTGTTTACTGATTCTCCTCCATGTGCATCAGGTGCCTCTGCCTGCTCTCCACCTCTTCCTGCTCCAATGTAAGCTGAGGCATGTGGCTGGCATAGTTCAATGCGTCATGTTCACCTTTAACACGTAGAGAAAGCACATATCTAAGAGCAACTAGAGTACGCTGTCCTGTCTTAGCTTGTTCCTGCAGTCAAGACACAAACATGCACCGATATACAGCAGATGGGGTTTGGTCCTCAGCAGGTTGTGGGAGATTGACCCTACCTTACTAGGTTAATATGTTAAGCCGTTCCTCGGCATCCTGTTTCAAGGAATGGGTTGAAAGACATAACAGGCTCAGTTTTAATTTTAATAAAAGCTGGACGCTTTGCTCCTGAGTAGTGGCATCTGTTTTTTTCTTGTAGAAGCAAGACCTTTCACATGCTCCAAGCTCCATGCAACTGACAGCAGCCACTTGTTAAAAACTTTGGCAATAAAGGCCAAGGAATTGTTTAAAAAATCTGTCCGCTCTTACATGTTTTATCGAAAGACAAGAGGAGAGTTTGATCTGGCTTCCAAGCTGGAAGCCCCATTCTCACGCTTCACCCATCCCAGTGTTTTCAAGATGGGCAAAAGCCTGATACAGGAGGTCTTCCTGGTACAACCATGGACTCCACAGAGTTCTCCAAAGGGGCCTCCCAAACGCACAGGAATCCTGGCAACATGTTGGAGGGAAACTGTGCCCTCCTCCATGCCAAATCTCCCATCTGAGTTGTGGTAGGAGCATTCTAGGAGCTACATAAATCACATGCCACCCTTTCTATGTCTTTGCAGCTTTGTGGTACTATGATCAGATGGAGATTAGCATGCTGTCTGTGTGCAGCTGCCATCACTGCTCCAGGGCTTCAACAAAATAGTTCAGTATTTACAGTTTGATGGCCACTGTTGTGCTACCACCACTTCAGTCCCCTCACTGCTGTGCCAGAGGGAGCCTCAGGAAATAGCAACTATTCTGTGCAATGCGAGGCATTAAAGACCAGTTAAGAGCTATTTTCCCCCACCCTTGTTTGATATCCAGGAGCCCAACATGGATTAAAAGCCACATGCTATTTTCTGTGTAAGAAAAGCAAAAAACAAGAGGCCTTGCCCCTTTGCAAGCTACATCTAAGTCTGGCACGTGCTGCCAGGATCCTCAGCCCTGGCATTGTCAAGTAAACTATCAGACAGACGTAGCATCTGCCCACAGCTTGAAACTCAGCACAACAAGTAGAACAGCAGGAGTACCAGCTTGCAGAGAAGGGTTAAAATGAAGCCTAATGCTTCTGGAGGACTGCCCGTATGCCATGTCCTGCTCTGACTCAGATTTTGTTTTGAAAGTGGAGCAAGATGCTCAGCAGTTGGGTCTCTCAAGACTCATCATCAAGGCACAGCTTTTTAGCCTCAGGAATGTCAAACTCAGATGGCTGTATGATCACATCATGTATTAAGAAAGGTCATTAAAAAGGCACGCTTGTCCCCAGACTTAAAATTAAAGCAGCCAAGAGATTTGCCAGCTGAACTCTGTCATTGCAGAACATTTACTTTCTATTCCATGCCCATCACATTACTTCTACACATTCTTACAACTGGACTCGGCTCACACACTGGATTTGTGAAACGTACATGTGATGATGCCCCCTCCCCGTACCCCATGTTTAGAAACATGACAATCATTCTAAAGAGAGCATGCAATGGGTTTTTTTCCTCCTACAGAAAGGAAACAAACCTTCATACTTGGTATTTTAATCAAGCCACCATTAGTGAAAGCCCTTTATGGATCAACAGCATGGAAAACTGTTTAGTTAGGATATTGGCCTCAATTCGCTGTAGCTCTATATTTATAATATTACAACCACTGCAATTCTAATAATGACAAATGTAGAACAAGACTGACATTGCATGTCTAGCATATTACAACCCAAGGTCATAAAGCATGATTGTTCAAAAAGTAGTATAGCAATTCTCTGTTATCTCACATCAGCCAGCCTTATATTTTTCAAAAGCTCTGCAATTAAACTACAGTGAACACGCAGTTCTAATAGTCTCACACACGCACACAAGCACACATACACTCAGTCTTATTAGTCCTGTTACATAAAGCCTGGTGTTTAATAAAAGTTCAGCTTAATCTGTTGAAATGACAGTCCCGTTACATAAAGCCTGGTGTTTAATAAAGGTTCAGTTTAATCTACTGAAGTGACAGGTCAGGAAAACTATAAAACAGGAATATGTTAAATTACTTTGGAAGTCTAATAAAGTGGTTTTTGGAAGCTTTATAAAGCACTGACTGTCAGATATGAAAGGTACTCAAAAAGGAGAATGCTTTTTTTTTTTTTATTTAATCCGGCATAGTTCTTGTCCCTGGTGCCTATTACATTTGATCAACAACCAACAAAAAGCATTCATATGATTTCACCTTCTCTGACACTATTTACAAGTGACTGGAGGAATTTTTCACTGTTATCCTTTCCTACTGATTGGTAACTTTAGGCTATATACCAACCTGCTGTCTACATTTTCTGACCATCTTGGTAGGCATGCATGGGCATTTCCTGTATGATGTATACTGCTGATGGAGACTTCATAATTAATATGTCCCCGTCTCCCATCCCCCCCCCCCCCGGGAAGGACAAGCAAATGTTCGGATGTATCTCTCTTTTGCAATCAGAGTCCCAAAACTCAATGCTCAAATTGGCATCTTACACATTGCCATCAATATAACAACATCACAGTGGCATACCTACCTTAAGAGGTATCAGACTCGTGAGCTCAAAGAGGGTTACTCATCCTACTGAAAGGGCATATCAGTGTGGCACACCTTTGCTCTCTCAGTGCATCACTCCTTACATTTGGTCATTCTTAAAGCCTACAGAGACATGGGCACACACAAAGCCTGGTCATAAGCATCAGTGGGTGAAGGCACATGATCGAGTTTTATGTAGTTTTTTACCTCTCTCTGGAAAGGCTGTGGCAAGTTTTGGGTAGCTGGATAATAAGCAACAGTGTTAAGCAAGCGGAAGTCAGTGTCAGGCAATAGTGTCAGGCCAGAATACAACAGGCTTAGGTCAGCTGCACAGTACTGAACTCATGTTTTGGGGAGAAAGAAAAGTGAAAATGCCCCCAGCTACAGGTCACCAACTCCTGGGACCTTCATAGCATGAGTGCAAGCCCCCTTCCTCCTCCCACTTACCCACTGCAAGGCATGCTGGACTGGGCACTCAATCCCACCCCCGGTGTCAGAGCCACAGCACTTTACACACGGTTGTGAACTAGTTCCCTATCAGTGACATTTCAGAACAGCTCAACTGTTACACCAGCCCAAATACCAAATGAAACAAAGCAACACAGCATCTATGTATAACAATATTTCTTTATTTACTTTTTTTTTTTAAAAATCACTGCGATAGACACAGTGAGCTCCATGAAACGTGCCATACATTCAAGAAAGAGATGGTATCTCAGGTAACTGATTTGTTAATTCTCTGAGGCAATCACTGCTACTGCTATTTCCTGATGCATAAAAAGTTCTGTAACATTTTGCTTCTAAAGTCTCTATCCAGCTGAAGTTTGAATGCTGCTGGCTAAGAATCCCAGCTTTTTAAATGCTGTAAATAGAAAATGACTTTAGATACTAGTCCGCTGGCTTCATTTCCAGCATTCGCAACTCTGGCGTGAAAGAAACATGTCCACAGAGCTTGCTGTTTTTGGTAGTGACGGCAGACTGTTAAGAATCTGCACAGCAAAGAGTTCCAAAAGGACACAAAAGGATTATTTTATCTTCAGTAATACATGCTAGTCAAAGTCAAGGAGGCGTTTGGGACCACATCTCCCCTCAGGTTAAGTCACAACATACAGAAGTATATTCCTTAACAGCCACTTAGTAATTACACCCCTGTTCCGTAGACCAGTAGAAAAAAAGACCACTATATACAAAAATCTTAACATTACAAGTTATTTAAAAAACAACCCAAACCATTAAAATGTGAGAAAGTGTTTGTTTGCATACAAGTAGAAATACAATCCTCGTTGAAGCAGCATACCAGAGAGGACAGTTGTTAAAGAAGTCTGTAAAGGACAAAAAGCCCAGATGTTCTTTTAGTACAACCAGAACATTGGGGAAATGAGAGGACTAAAACATTCATTGTCTGCCGTGCCAGGTTTGTCATCTTTGTAAGGTCACTTTAGGCATAAAAGAGTGTGGTGTCAAACAAAAAGCATGGAGGCGGAGTTTGACCATAGCACTCTATGCCAGGCCTTCAGATAGAACGACTTTCCTGAGATCGGGGCTATTTGTGTAGGCTGTTTGTGCGGGGGGGGGGGCCCCCGTGTGGTCTTTCCCCCCCCCCCACCCACAAGCCACAGCAGGGACGGACACCTGATCAGCTCATGGGCTGCTGCTTTGAGGAAAACAGAGGCTCCAAATGCCCAAATACAAAAACAAATGTAGTGAAAGGGCCAAACCCTGGTCCTGTTAAAGACTATGGCAGTTTCACCAATGGATTCAAGATTTGACCCATCTAGGCAAAGGAGGTGGCCTCCAGGGAACACATAGCAGGGTGGAAGCCCAGAGGTCAGGCTGTACTGTAAACTTGAGTGATGCCAAGTTTGGAAACAAGAAAAACCAAAAGCACAACAGCAGAGGACAACCGGGTGTCCATTACCTTAAAATAAACATTCCTGATGGATTTTGCTACATTGTGATCCCAAACTACTACACCTCTGAAGACTCCATCTGGCCTCCCTTAAAGGCAATCCAAACGCAGAGCGTTGGATCCCCAAAAGCAGCAGGTTAGTGAGAATACCTGATTTAAAACCGAAGATGTGATATCCTCGTCTTGTTGCCTTATTTAAAATAATGTATCCTTCTGGGATGTTCTCAGAGAGCAAAATGGCTTACTAACAGTCTATCACTGCCCTCACCAATGGCAGCTGCAGGAGGAGAGGATTTATCTGGCAGTAAAGAATGACTCTCATAAAGAAGGCAGTGCAGACACAATGGTTCTTGGGACTAAGTATCTCTCTGTATCCATCTCATTCTGATGAAGACAGGATCATTATGGCAATCGGCTGCAGCCCAGGGGTTTGATAACAAACCATTTCAAGCTGTACACCGCTTAGCATTTCCAGATAAGTGCCAGCTGTCAGAAAGGGCACAATAAAGGATGCTGGCAAATATACAGCATATACAACTTTTACATTACATATATAAATTATAACCCCCTTAGACTTCTCACTCCCCCTCCAAGGTATTGGAGCTCTCTAACAGCAAACAGCCTGGAAGTTTTAAATAGCAGAAAAAGAATGACACAGCAGTCCTGATCCAGTCCCCTGTGGCACTTCCATGTTTGGCTAACAAAAAATAGCCCGGAACACAAAGTGGTCTCATTTGGCCTTAAGTAATACTAATGAGAATCACAGCATTCAGCTAACTACATTTCAGGAATAGAAAGCTACTCTATAGAAAGCTACTTCATTTCTTTCCCTCGCATCCATCTCCATCCCATACTTTAGCAGCCTTGAAAGTTGGTTACTACTTTATTGCTGGTGCTCTGTCACTGCCTGGAAATGTTTCACTGGTGGTTCTCCTGGCCCCATTCAGCAGCCTACCAACCTACTCCAAACATCCACACGTTTTCCATAGTATTGCACCCTATCAAATTAGGAACCCCTGAAAGCGACTGCTTCAAAGCAAGACTACTAAGACTCATACTCTCCCTCCCCTTTAATTCTCCCACCTTGTTCCTATCGATATCCATTGATTTGGCCACAGCATTGTGCACCCCATTACCCCTATGAAATCTTTCACCTTGATTGAGTCACCCATCACACTGAACCAGCAGTGTGAGATGCATCACCCAATACATACACACTTGATACTGGATAATTGGTTTACTTCAAGTGGTTCCCATCCTAGGGTTCTCCTCCCCCCCTTTACTGAAAAACTTTGCATTAAATATTTGATAGTGTCTTCACACATTATTAAGATATTTGACCCTAAGAGATAATCCAAACTTACTGCCAATATACATACTTTTTATATAATATAAATAGGTAAAAGCTTCAGACAAAATATTCTATGATTTCTGTGGTTTAACATCTTTAAATAGCATTAAAAACACAAACATCCAGCCCTTGTGATTATATGTACAAACACTGGTGAATGTATAAGGCTCACAGGTACATAGGCAAAAAGAAACTAACTGTCCCTCCAACAAGGGAACAATATTCAATATGATGAGTCTGAAACCAAACAGAACAAGTTGATTTTCAACTCTAACTCCAGTGATAGAGCCCTCCTACTTCCTAGGCTTGCACTCATTCATATTTTCAATTCAACAGCAAAACTAGTATTTACAAGAGGAAAGAAAGCTGCAAAGGTCGACTTCTCAACACTGTTGACCTATCACCATTTCCACAGCAAGTTTCAGAGTGCCTTTGTGCTGACTGGGTGTGCCGTGTGTGATGCTGGCTTCTGAGGGTAGTAGCTGTAGAAGTAAACCTGCAGCAAGATGGCGATGTCCACAAAGACCTGGAGTAATCCACAAATGGAGAACTGGAAAGGAGCTTGGTTGAGGATAAAGTAGACAGTCTTGAAGGTATCACCACTGGTCCACATCACCACCATCTTGACGCTAAGAAAGGGAGGGAAAAAAAAGAATTAAAGATTGAAAAAGCTGGAACTTGGATAGAGGAAACCATATCGTGACGATATATACGGCTCTACAAGTCCACATAATGCATCTAAACAAATTCTTGCAGTCCTACCCATGGATGGAACAATCTCCTGACCACTAAAACCAGTCAGCTTATTGCCTTAATTACTATAGATAAAAGTGCTAGCAGTCATGAAGTTATCCAACGGCTTAAAAAAAAAATTATGATACTAAACTGGATGACTTGCCATGGAAGTGAAAGTCACATAGTAACTACACTGCATATATAATGAAGTAACAAGGGTGCATGACAAACAACAGATTTCAAATCTATTTACTGCAAGTTATGGTTTCTTGTGTGAGTGTGTGCATGAGCACTCACTCACTTACTCACTTCTTACCTGATCAATCTGTAGATGAACCTACATGAACCTGTCTTGTATATTATATGATGTATTTTGTGCTCCAGAGTGAAACGTCCAATAGCACATGCATAGAGAACAGTGAATATGACAGCAGCATTAGAAGGGCTCTGGCATGGGTCTTTCTCCATAGAGGGATGCCCAAGTTTAATATTTTTTTTTCTCTCATTATTCCTTTTTTTCCCCCTTTTTTTTAAACTTCCGACATCTTTGAACCATCCTTCTCACCTCCTGCCCAAAGGCTTTTCTGCCCCTGCCATTTTGGGTTCTGCAAAGTCTGGGGAATAGAAATCATTCTTAATCCTAGCACAGGGGCATTTTCCATGTCAGCACTTCAACACCGAGTCCAGAATGTGCACAATCCGTTGCTGAAAATGGGTTTAGGCTTTGTGCGTTACGACAGGACAGCTTTATAAACAGATGAGCAAGCAGTGCTGAACAAAAGCTTTGCCATTCACAACTAAAACCCTTCAGCATAAATAGTCTGGAGCCCCTGCATGAAATGTCACAATTATGAATGATTAATTCATAATTGTGAATTACGTGTTTCCAGCCTTGGCTGTAAATTTATCAAAGCAACTGTGCACACAAAGTATCTGGTGTTCATTTCTTACATGTTTAGGAGGACAGGATAGGATAATCTGGAATCTTGGATACAAATACAGCACATAACCCTAATATGAATTAGATCCTGCAGTCTATCCTCAAGCCTTTGCTATAACAGTGGCCAAGAAAGCCAGAAAATACAGCCCATTCATATAACAGGAGCATAACCCGTCTTACCAGTCACTTATGACCCCAATCACTGTGGTTATAAATGAAGATCCAATATCTGTAACAATACATCATGGAGCTGCTAAGGGACTGTATATGCAAGGCTGCAAGCTGGGCATGCAACTGAATACATAATACTTATAGACCTAACTCAGTCTAAGTTTTGTATACAAATAACTACCAGAAAGAAAAGGAGAAGGTTACCCGAGGTCAGCCATTCACGCTCCCTGTAGCAAAGTGGAGCCCTGAGGGTTAGCAAGCCCTGCCAGGCAGGTTAACACGCCAGGTTATTGAACATTTGTCAGATATTTTCCCAGTGAAGATTTTTTTTTTTTAAACCGGAAAACAAATCCGAACAGCTTGAACAAGAAAGAAGGGAGGGCAATACATCATGGTACATTGCTTGTCTGCAAGCCAATATGACTCCTAATGATAGATCAGCAGATAGGCATTTGCTGTGCAGTCAGCGGCGGGGTAGAGGGAGAATCAACAGGATTTAACTGAGAATCTACCAGTTCAGATTTTGGCTAGTTTGGTCAACAAAAGCCCTCATGGGCCAGACAAGGGTGGGCATGCCCTGCAAAAATATAAATGGTTAATAGACATCAAGGTAAAAGATGCTCCGTGACATTTAAACTGGAGTCAAACATACCAGGCACTAAACCTGGGACCTCTCTTCCTGCCGGATCTTCAATAAAGAAAAGGTCCCATTCACTCAGGAAGTGGGCTGCTTAAAAATATCCACTGCTTTTACCCGAGGGAGTGACTGTGAGGCTGTTCACAGAAACGCACCTGATGTCAGCAGACTTGTTCCCTTGCAGGGAGTTTAAACCCCTGATGAGAGAACTACAGCCAATACGGGGAGGGGAACCTGTAGGATAAACGCAACCCTGAGCTTTCAGATCAAAGCCCATACTGACGTTAACTGTAACTACAGATGCAGGATCCTTTCCCAAGCCTTGCTGGACAGTCTGAAGCCCTCAGGGTGCATTTTGAGAAGAGCGAGATCGAAATAATTTAGAATTAACGGAACAGAACAACCGCAACATAAATCATTCACGGTGCCAGATATCACCAGAAACGCAGGGCTCTGCTCTTTGCAGCTACTCTGATGCAACACCAGGAGAAAACCTGACAATTATTCCAGGTTTCCCATAGAGAGAGAGAGGCTAGAAAACAGTGGTGTGAGCAAGACTGGGCAAGCAGGGCACCAGCCCTAGGCACTGATTTGGAGGGGGCAGCAGCAGCAGCCTGCGGTAAAACTCCCTAGTGCACAGCACCCTCCCCCTCTCCCAGCTTAGGACACCAAAACCAAAGCAGACAGCTCTGACAAATCTCATGTCTCAAATGCATCTAGGTCAGGGGGACCAGGCCACAACTAGGTCCATGTTGCCCGGGCCAGGGAAGTTCTCCCTGCCTGCTCTGCTGGCTGCCTGACCACGTGCCATTATAAATATAAGCAATTGAAATCAGGGTTTTAAACATGGGCAAACATTAACTATTTGAGCTGAAGTTTTCCATGTCAGGTGTCTGCTTCAGCTGAGTCCAACCAAAGTCAGCTGTTTGCAAGAATGAGGCAAAGGGGTCAGGCCTTTCTTAGAAATACTCTCATGTTCCCAAGGTTTTGCAGTGGGCAAGTCAAAGCTGGCAGGGAGCAACCTTTGGGGAATGCCTTCATTGTGCTGCTGGCATACCCAGGCAGGGACTGCCCAGCCAATGCACCCGGGGGGCTACTCCTTCCCGCTCACACCCCTCCAACCCAGTGGCAGTGAAGACACTTTGGGCATCCCCAGTGGCTGCTCTCAAGCATACCAGAGACTGAGGAGAACAATTCTGGGCTTGGCTGGAAGGAAGACAGGACCTGCATAGAGAGGTTTGGTTTTGTTTCTGTGTGGGGAAAGGCCGGGTTAGGGTTTGCCTTTGTCCAAACAGCTATTTTACAAACTTATTACTATCCCCATTCAGAGAAAGGGTAGACAAGTGTCAGTCCTGTCTTGCAAGATGCAAGGCATATTTAACCAGTGGGAAGCATGATAAGACAACCGACAAAACATCAAAAAAGGTGCCAACACTGAAGTATCCCCCCCTCGGTAATGTTTAGAGAAGCCACATTTCAAACTTCACTTTACAGATATTTGATTGTTTGCAAAAGCAAGCACCCATACCTTCTAACCAAGCTGTCATGCGTGGCATATACAGAGTCACATTAGACCTCAATGCAGATGAATCTTTACTGAGATTATCACTCTAATGTTTGGAATCTGATTCAGGACAGCCCTAGTTCTCTGCCCAGCCAATAAAGAAATCTCTATGAACACACTGCTCCCAGAAAAACAGAGCTATGTAGTAGTTACAGGCAGAGAGAGAGGCAAGTCAAGCCAAAATATGATTGCTTAGCAAGAAGGAGATAAACAGCATAAGCTTCTGCAAGTGCAGATGAGCCAAATGGAGGGAAGGAAGCAGGAGTTGCTCTGAAATAGATGTTATTGCCAGAGGCTGAAGCAGACGTGCAACAAAAATAGCTCTTCCCAACAATGTAAATCGTTATTGCAGGATCCAGTGACAACAAGCCTCTGAAAACAAGCGACTTTCTTACAGCTCCACTTGTTTCAAGCAGTTATTAATGGAGTATTGATATATTAGCAACTCTACATAAAATAGCGACTGACCATGAACAAGGAATCTGGCATATTTTAGCTGTGACTGACTCTTAAAAACATGAATTGAAGGTATTTTATTATGCTGTCAAAATCAATTTCCAGAAAAAAATCAGCAGGTGTTCTCAATACACAACAGGCATGCAATAACGCCTCTATCTGCAGGGTTTGTCAAATACTAATTTTTAATATGGAACATGATAATTTGAGGCATTGCAGCTCTGACCCAGCATGAGCACATATCTCTGTTTCATAGTAGCTAGGGTCAGGAGGGACCTGAACAGATCATCTAGCCTGACCCCCTGCCAACCCTAACTGTAAAATATTGCCTTCTGATCTCCAACCTAAACCTATTCTCCATCAGCTTATGAGTTTTCTAAAGCAAGTGAGATGCACAATGATACCCTGGAAAACTGTGCATTTGTCCAAACAAACAGCTGTTTCCCCCTCTCAGTTCCTTGCATGTCATACATTAACACAGTGATTTCAAATAAAAGTCAATTACAGAAGTCAGGGATGAACAATATCTTTTATCCCTCCCCAGGCCAACAAAGCCTTGTTTCTATAGAATGATCCTAGAAGTGCTCTCTCGAGCCTCCAGGATAATTTTACAGTAGCTGAAGGGGAGAAAAAAAGATGTTCTATCCACCAAAAATGAAAAGAACTTCATAAAGCCATTCCCCCCTCATTATTTGCCTCAAAACTTGATGAAGTAATGCAGCAAAACGCTGGTTGCCTACAAAGAGCAGCAGGTAGAGTCACAGTGTTGTTTGGCACCGAGATACAAACCTACACAGGGAGAAATACAGGATAGCATTTGCTTTGCTTGATTCCCAACGACTCTCTCACATCAGTGTTATGACTTCACGTGGCTGTAACTTAACACACGAAACCAAAAATATCCTGAGAGCTGGAAGATGTGCAGAAGATCAGCCATTAGGAAATACTTCCGCTGGGAAATTCCATGGTGATTTGGCCACACGTCAGCGCACAAATAAAAAACAGGAGGCATGTGCTGGGCTGCTGTAATTACACCCCTGCTACAGAGTCAGGGAGGCAGAGCTAATTTTGTTCTATGATAGTCAAAGGAATCCCAAATTCTAAAGTTCATTTCCAGGAACTGGAG